TGCGTATCATGGTTCGCGCGTCATTAAAAGCCTATATTCTAGTAGTGGTGGCAAATGCTCAATCGATTACACTCAGAAGAGGGATAAGTATGATTTCAAACTACTCCACTAGTTAGGTGTCCCTAGTGTAACAATGTAAATTTTAAAACAAATTTTTCATTTTTGCAAACATTAAAACCATCGTTTAATATTCCGAATTCAAATGAGTAACAATGTTATCATAACAAAATACATCCCATGATCATAAAAACAATTCCTACGTCAGTGTGTACAATCACACCGGTGCCTTCCCACGGTCCTCGCTAGTACCTGAAACACATAACACAACAAATGTAAGCATAAATGCTTAGTGAGTTCCCCCAAAATACTACTTATGCACATACGCCTTTCCAGGCCCTGACCTTCCGGTCCATGTGTCTCAGGGGACTTCCGTCCCGACTCGGTAAACCTTCCGATCCTACCTGCGTTAACCTTACGGTCCACATCACAACGCCTTCCGGCCCATAACATATACGCCTTCCGGCCCATAACATAATGCCTTCCGGCCCATATCAAGCATACCATACATAGCACATATAAACGATTAACTTATCATATACAATGCATATAACTCCTAACATATCCGACCTTCCGGTCACACAATAAAAACTCTTTCGAGTACAGTATAGTGATAAAACTCACCTCGTGGAAAGTCTAGAATCTCGTGTACTTGCTATATCCAAATCCCAACGACGACTCTACTTCGCCTAATCATAATAAATATCATTTTAATTATTAAAGACTTCCACAACTAGACTTTACCCGAGGGTAAAAGACCATAATAAATATCATTTTAATTATTAAAGAGTTCCACAACTAGACTCTACATCGCCTAATCATCATTCCTCCGAGGGTAAAAGACCATTTTACCCTTCCTTGACTCAAAGTCTTCATGTTGACCAAAACCCTCAAAGTCAACAAAAGTCAACCTTTTGAGTACGCGGGGCGTACATCACCAACCCATGGATCAGGGTCTCCACCCGTACTGGGAGTTATGCCCAGTGTAACCATCAGACTTAAACATTCATCATTTCTGGTCTTAATCGGTTAAGCCATTACTCCAACTTCTAGATTCGGCTTTATTTATGCCTATTTACCCATAAAGTCGAAACCTTTAAGCCTTGGCATGGCTGTAAAGGCTCCTACTCTCCTTAACATCATTCTATTCCAACTCATGGATCTAGATCTCATGCATGGTGAAACATTCACATCCAAGATTACATTTTTATGAGTCTACAACTCAAATAGACGAGAAATATGGTGGATCTAAGCTTATGGAGACCATTTGCTCAAAAAGTCTCCACCTTTGGGACTAAAACCCTAGAAAATGGTACTTAAAGCATATCACAAGAACTATATGTCAAGATCCGAACTTTTTACCTTAGAATGAAGCTTCAACCTTTGCAAAGCTTGGATCCACACTTGAACACCACTTCTAGCCTTCCCAATGAACTCTTCTTCTCCTTTGCCACCTTGAAATGGCACCACCAAGCTTAGAATACTCAAATATGGCATAAGAACGAAGGAACACTCTCTTTAGGGTTTCTTTCTGAGGGATGGTGGCTGAGGAGTCGAGCCACACATTCCTTTTATAGCCATCCGAAATAATTAGGGTTTTTAGGTCTGGACCGGTTACGCCCAGCGTAACCTTGGGTACGCCGAGCGTACCCGAGGCTGAACGCGTTCAAATGAAGCGCGCGAGTACGCATAGCGTACTCCTTGTACGCCCAGCGTACTCGCCCAACATGCAAAACACTAAATGGAAACAATTCAAAGATGAAGGGCTAAAAAGAAGGATACCTGGATTTCGGGCTGTTACACCTAGAAGCGTGATGTTGTATGTTGACCATAAGCCACATAGACTTTAAGTGTTCAAAGCCTTAACGAATCTCTCACTACGAGTGTTCCTTCCTAATCAGGCTATATTCACATTAGTCGAAGAGCTACCATTCTCTTCTCTTTTTGAGTAAACAGATGTCTGCTACGTCTATAATCTTTGCAGAGGTACAATGAGTTTCCTTAACCAATATTTTTACACCGAAACTTTTTCTTAATGGTCATACACATCACTGAATATCCTAGACATCTATGGGAGAAACCAACCAAAATGTAGATATTGCACAAGTCTGTGTTTATGATCCTGGTTCATTTTTCTATGATGATGGTGAAACCCAACAATCCCAACTTCTAAGGAATTGACTGTGAACATCTTGTTCAAGATTATAATGAAACATTTGTTTCAGTACCACATTTGGATATTCAAATTCATATTTCTTTTGTTTTGCGTGATCTTCACAAAATGCTATGCTACCAAAACATTTTACCCAACAAGTTCCAGATCTTTTTTTTCTGGAATATGATTTCCGTTTGAATATCTTTTTGAATTCTCATCACTTCAAAATATTCCCGCAGCTTCACACTTGTTCTTTACTACACTAGTCATATAAGTAATTTTTTTCAATCAACTCACACTTATGTTAAGTTGTGGTATTGAGCAAAATTGAGCCTACCTTCAAACCTGTGCAAAAAAAGGCCCTTCGATACTCAGTCGGGAGTATTCGATTGTACTTTGTGGGATACCATGCAAGAAGTTCACCATCTCTCTTGATGTAGAATGAAGCGATCTTTTCCTAGGATCCAAATGCTTTTACATAAAGTATAATTTGATGTCACTATTCACACATTTTCTTTTCATTTGATTCCTACAACTTCATTGGCACACTTTTGCAATGAAATCCTAGATATTTTGGGTAATACCGACTTGAAACCTAGATTTCGCAAAGTCTGGCATATGATTTCGCTTTCCAATCCCAAAAGTGAATGAGTCTAACCTCATAGTGAAGGTCTGGTGTTCTCTTAATGACGAAAACTTCACAGTGACAGTTCGAAACAATGTGATAGTTCTTATCTCATTAGGATCAATGAAATGTTTAGTGGATGTGACAATTCAGTCGTTCATGGTTTTTAGGAAGTTGTGATGATCATTCTTTTGACGTGGTGACTTTTACTGTAACTGACCCATAACTAATGCAACTCGTGGCAAAATCTGATTGGTTATCGGTTCAAATTCTCCCCAAAATTCTTCAAAAATAATGGTATTCTCACAATTATTGCAAACCCTAACAATGGCAGCTCCTACTAGTAATGTTGATCCTTCCAACACAACCAATGAAGAAGAAACTTCTCAACCTTTGCTGAAGATTCAAAGCTCCAGTCTTCGTTTACAACCAGACGTCATGCAATACACTAAACAGTTG